CTCTCTCTCATTCCCTCCTCCTCCTGCTGCTGCAGCGTGGTGCCAGCTAGAGAGAAAAGCACGGCGGTGGCTGCAGCCAAACCGACGGCTGCAGCCAGCAGCAAGGGCGAGTATGTGATCACCAAGCTGGACGACCTGGTTAACTGGGCTCGCAGGGTGAGTAGATGAGAAACCGTGAGCTGTGTTAACATGCTGTATGTCTGGGTTAGACTCATGAGTATGTGCGCTGTCTGATATAAAGTACACATCTGGAAATAAAACCAAGTTCTCTGTCAGCATGTGATGTGACCCCACCATCACCTGAAGAACGTTGTAAATGTGTCACTGTAACTGGGGTATCATGGATCTTAACCCCCTGGGGTCGACTACTTCTGATTTTCTCTTTATATTTCACCTTTAAAAATTATCGACCTTGTCTTGTTTGGTATCATTCGTCTCAGTACAACCTCGCTTTTCTCTGTTCAGTTATTTTCTTATTTTCAGTAGTCACCTTATTGTTTTGCCACACAAAATCAAACAAATGACTACACTACATCTCAACTACACAGTACTACACACTAACCATTCACTCCAAACACCTTTTTTCTTGATGCAACATCTGTTACAACAGTATTCAGGAGAAAGTGTGGTGCAAGTTGTTTATCATAACTCTGTTATTTTTTTTCTGGCTTATCAACAGAGTTTAAAAACTAGTATACAGTTTGAAGTCCAGGCTTTCAAAACGAGTTAAAAACAGAGGCTCATCGAGGCTGCATCTTGCTGCTACGTCATCTTAAATCATTTACGTGATTTAGACACTACAGCGTGACTACAGGGGGTTAAAGGGCCAAAAGTAACTTGCAGACTTGTTGCTTTCACGTTAACATAATGCACATACAGAGCTAAGTACACATTGAGACAGTAAACGTCCTCAAAAACGTGATAACCCTGTGAACGTTGCGGCCTATTGCCCAGAAACTGCACAAACGATGACTGCTGTTTCCTCCTCAGAGCTCTCTGTGGCCCATGACCTTTGGCCTGGCTTGCTGTGCGGTGGAAATGATGCACATGGCGGCTCCCCGTTACGACATGGACCGTTTTGGAGTCGTATTCAGAGCCAGTCCCCGGCAGGCAGATGTCATGATCGTGGCAGGAACGTTGACCAATAAGATGGCTCCAGCCCTGCGCAAGGTGAGAAAAGGGCCTCCACTAATCATCATCACCTTCACCTAACTGCAGTTTAACTGATTAGCTGAAGTGTGAGGTTTGACTTGGGTTTGGGAATTGAAGGAGAAACAAAAAATGTGTTTTCACTCACAGCTTGTAGACATAGTCAGTGCTGTTTGTCTGCAGGATAGCTGAGCAAACGCTGG